AGCTGCTTCTCCAGCACCATGTCTGCCTGCATGCCTCCATGCTTCTCGCCATGATGATAAGGGACTGAACCTCTGAACCGTAAGCCAGCCCCAATTAAACGTTTTCCTTTAAAAGAGATGCTGTGGTAATGGGGTCTCTTCACAGCAACAGAACCAAAACAAAGACAGGCTACTTGCAAGAGCTTTCTTCCCTGATAAAAAGCAGATATAAAGAAGCCTCGCCTACCTCTCCCTCTTTCTTGCTCATAAGTACAGCTGGTGGGGGCTACTACAACTGTAGATCAAGAAGAAGGCCAAGAAAAGAAAGGCAGAAATGTAGACCAGATCCCTAATATCATGGAGTCACTGACATGAACCTGTAACCCCAGACTACTAGACTTCTTGTTATGCAAACAAATAGTTCTCCTGATTTTGAGTTACTCACATCCAGGTTTTACCACTTGAACCCAAAACCTTCACTCACCTCTACCTGGAAGGATCCTGCTAAGATAACACCTTTAAAAAAGTCTTAACCACTTTGCTGAATCACCGGTCCTTCTGAGCTCCAATGATATGCTTGCTAATGTTTGGATGATAGAATGGTTCACACTGATTAGCTAATATGCTGTGAACAACATTAGATGTAGGCTCTGTGCCAAGGAGCATCTAGATTCAGAGAGCCAGATACCTGCACTATAGGATACGCCATCCGTGGATATCTAGATGGAGCCTAGATCATAAGACTGAAATCTGGCCTCTCGTAATTACTGACTCTGTAATTTGGGTCACGAGGGTTGAAGAGACTTTCAATGAGATAATTATGACATTGGAGACAATGTAAATGGATCACCCAGACAGACGGGAAGAGATGGAGTGGAGAGGCAGAACTAACGCAAAGCTGGATTCCAGGTAAATGGGAGTCTGCAGAAACGAGTTACGAGCCCAAGGAGTGAGGTGTAGTTGGAGAAGATTCCAAAAGCAGAACTAAACATGCTGACGGCAAATAAAGCAACGTCATGAGCTGATGGCTGGCGCTGTCTTCCCGCTGCCTGGACACCTGAGGGGATGACTTCATGCAACTGTGACAGCAGTTCTCCAAGGCTGATACCATGAGGGCAAAGAGTGCAGAAGAGTTTTTCTAAATGTCCAGAGACCGGATCAGTTTATCAAAGCATGCCCAAGACTGATTTAAAAATATCACCTTAGGTCAATGTGCCTCTTTCCAAGGAAAAGTCACCACGGTAGACTAGAGAGGGACCCTAGAGGCTAAAAGTAGAGTTAGAATTTGGTAGGGATTTTTGTAGCACGGTCATTTAATTTTTCCATCACAGCATAGCACAAACCTACCACACATCAAAAATAATGAGTTAAGAAATCAGAAGGGAAGCCAGGAATGGTGGCTCACGTATGTAATCCCAGCACTCAGTAGGTTAAGGCAGGAGGATCACCTTGAGTTAAAGGCTAGCCTAGAATAGGCTAAAGAGTAAGACTCTGCCTCAAAAAAAAAAAATAGAAGATGAGAGAGAGAGAGATCACTCAAAAGAGGGATTTTGTAATAAAACTTGAAGGTGAAAGGGGTCCAGGGACTCAAAATGATGAGAATGACCACAAGGCCCTCACGTCCCAGATTATGAAATGACCGAGAACTTCGTAAAGTTTTACGTAAAGAACAAGAGTGAGGAAAGCTATTTATCTCTTTCCTTGGCACATTGATCTAAAACACTTGCCAGCCTCATGAAGAAAGAAAAGGGGGTGAGGAAGCAGACCTCACAGTCCTGGGGAAAAGCAGGGAAAAGCTGAGGTCTGGAGCCAGAAGAGCTGGGGTTGTATTTGTTGACAACTGTGTCTCTGAGGCCTCCATACAGGCAGCAATGAATGAATGAGCCCCTGAGGAAGTGGTGAATTTGGGGCCAAGGAAGCAGAGAGAGAGAGAGAGAGAGAGAGAGGGAGAGGGAAGGAATTAAGATAGTTCCCTGCTTAGTTCTTACAAGAGTTGTGATACTCATGGTTCCTGACAAGCCCTAGCTACTTGTTTTATCATGTGATTTCTCCCTATCCTGTCCTTCACCATGATATCAGCTGCCATAGTAAGAAGCAGAGAGCAGAGGCTGCATCAAAGCCAGCATCATGTTGTTTGGGCTGTCAGCCTCTAAACCTATTAGGAGCAAACCTTTTCTCTTAAGAAAAGTATCCAGCCTCAAATATTCCACTATAGTAACAGAAAACTGACAGAGTGTTTCAAGTGGGCCAGCTGGAAAATACAGGCTCTGCACCTGTGCGAGACCATCTAAGCTTAGTTAGATGGAACTCAACCATATGGCCAGAAAGACTCTGCATAAATCCCACCCAGAGGCTCCTGCCTGGAAAAATAAGCAGTTATCACTCTACACTATACACTTCAGTTGGGACAAAATCTTGGGGATACTTACAGATCTGTGTTGGAGGCTGCTCTGTTCACAGGAGCAGAGGGAAGCAGTCTGGATGTGCATCGACAGATGAGTGGATAATGAAGATTTGGTGCAAATACACAGTGGAAATTTATTCAACCATAAGGAAAATTGAAATTTTTAGGAAAATAGATGGGTCTGAAAAGTATATTATGCAAGATAACCCACACTCATAAAAAACCTACCAAGTTCTTTCTTACGTGTGACTCCTGGCTTGTATACATGTGTGTGTAGTGATGACTGGAGATATGGGTTAATCCTAAAAATCTAGATAGGTGACCATGAGAGAATAAAAACAGGTGCTGAAGGGGAACAAGAGGATAGATGTGGTGTTAACAGGAAAAGAGACTAAGGGACTTACCAGAAGGATTGGAGAGCCAGGTGGGAAGGTGATAATGGAGAAGAATCTATGAAAACACACTTTTTTTTTCAAAATGCCATGATGACATCTAATATTTTATGTGCTGATTTCTAAAAATTTAATGAAAATATCTGGCTTTAAAACATTAGGGCTGGTGAGATGTTTCAGAGGGCAAGGACACCTGCCACCGAACCTGACAATCCCAGGACGCCATGGTGGAAGGAGGGAACTGATGTTGACCAGCTGTCTCTGCCCTCTCACCTGCTGTGTGCTGTGGTATATTCACACCCATACGTTCACACAAACATATGAGTTTTTTTATTTACTAAAAAATATTCAAGTTCAGGAAATATGCATAAAGGTCCTATTCCCCACTCTTTGGAGACATATCTACATGAGGCCTTCATGGCCCTAAATAAACTCTGGAGCCCCAGAGTTGTTTCCCATAACGTACATACAGCCTGAACAATTTCCTACCCAGGCATCAGCTCCTCGTTTCACAGGGTCTCCGAGCATCAGGTCAGGTTGCTCTCCTTATAGTAGAAAATATTTGTGCGCCCAAGTTTGTCCCTATAAATAGTTGAAAGTAGGTGACAACTATTTTGGTAACTGACTTAGTGTTAGGGACTGTAAGAATTGGTGTGGATTCTTCAACCACACTACCCAAACTTAATGCTGGGATCTGACCCAGATGATTTTTTTTAGCATCTTTTCATCCCAATTACTTGTCAAGTACTTTATAGGACTCTGGAAAGAATGAAGTTAATACCCATAAGGTTACTGTAAAAGTCCCCAGAACATGATAAGCCTTGGAGACTCTGCAAAGCAAGTACATTGTCCAACAGAAGACCTAACCTTCCACACCTCAGGCTATATTTAGAGACCAGGCTTTTAAAAAGGAAGTGAAAGTGGAAACCCCTCAGGGGATTCCAGTAATGAATGGCTTGCTTCCTAGGAGGAGGTCCCAAGACATGCACCAAGAAAAGACCACGTGAATACACAGATCTCTCTGTAGCCAAGAGAGATACCCTCAGAAGGAACCAATCACCATGGCAACCCCTCAACCTTGGACTTCTGGCCTCCAGAACTGAGGAATTAATTTTTGTAGTTTTATAGTCCCTGGTTTGTGGTACTTTGTTCAGGAACAAAACTAATGTAGATGTACATATGAAACAATCAACACATTTAATATATTACCCAACTAACTCTGCAGCATCTGAATATAAACCGAGAACAATGTCTTGGTTCATCCAACACTGCATATTTATTTACTCACCATCTTTAGCTTCATCATATAAGCCTATCTTTTTATCACAATTTTATTTATTGTATGGGGGATGGGCATGCCATGCCATGCATGGGATAGTCACTTTGACAGAGCTGGTTCTTTTCTTCACCTATATGATGGATCAAACTCAGGTCTTAGGCATAGCAAGAACCTTTTCCCAGAGAGCCATCAGGCCAGTGCCCAGTGCTGTTTCCTTGTCAGTTAGAACCCACCCCCTTTTCCTAATCACTTTCTGTGGTGTTTGGTCATCTTGGAAGATGGCTTCTCCCGATAGAAACAATCTTTTTTTTTTTCTGGGTGTGAAATAAACAGAACCTACTCTCAAGATGCTATGCTGGTAAGCTTTTGGAGTTACTTGTGGCTGGGCTAATCTCTTTCCTCGTTCTGACTCAGTTGGTCTTTGTGTGAAGCTAGGGCAGACATTTCTTTAAACTTCCCAGTTAATTACAACATGCAACCAGGGCTGGACACCATTACTCTAGTTTGAAGGTCCTCTTTAAAAAAAATTCTTATTTTTTTATTAGTTCTTTGAAGGGCCTCTAAGGTCACTCCAGCTGCAACTCAGAGTAGTACACACGTCACCAGCAATACATCACCTGCAAGCTCCTGGCTCTGCCTGACTACTAAATCAAATCCCACTTAACAGGATTCCCCCACATAATTCAAATTCACGACAAGATGTTAGAAACACTAAATTCCCATGAGGAGAACCTGGAAAACTCATCATAAACAAGACTAGTTGGCTTCCTCCAGAGCCACACAAAATATCAGTCTCTGGGAAGGGCAGGGCCTGAGAAGCAGGACTTTGTGTGTCCTGTGTAAGCAGCCAGGCAAAGGCCTAAGGCCGGGAAGCCACTTATCTAGGCCAGAGTAAAACCACTCACTCCTCACTTCTAATAACCCCTCCAATTGAGATTCTGCAATATGAAATAGAACAGTAACACAAGAATTTTTATTACTATTTTTCCACCATACATGCACACTTGCAAATCTTTATGCTGCTTAGGAACAGGGAAATATCGCATTATTACCAGGGTATCAAATATCAACTACAACAGCCAGTAAAGGATTATGTTGGAGAGGTTATTTTCACAGAACACAGCAACCATAACAGTTCATACAAGTGCCTATGTTACACAGGAGGACAGACTGACACAGTGAAGGGTACCTCACATCACAGTCTTAGACGGATTTACAAGAGTGGCCTCTTCCTTTGTTGATGTGGGGGAGAGCAGAATATCCTCATCACCTCTGAGTTTCACTAATTTTGAAGACACATTTATGAGGCCCACATCTGGAAAATCATTAATTTACACAAAAGGGACAGAAGCCGACTTGCTGTGATCATCAGAGTGCACCCCGCAACTATCAACACCAGAGTCCCAATCTCCCAAAGTGCACCTGACTGCATAGGCTCAGAACCTTGGACTTCAATAAACAATGCAGGAGGAAGAGGAGCTACAGGTGAAGCTCGGTTGCTCAGAGCCAATGTTGGATGCTGCGAGACAGAAGGCACACGGGGTCCAAGGACCACTTCCTACACCTGTTTATAGAATTTACATAACAAAGAGCAAACAGTATTTTAAAGCCAATTTGTACAGCTCTATTTTCCACATTAGGCAAAACTACAGAAAGTGGTAGATTTTACTTAGAGGCTAAATACATAGCATATAGCGTCATCTTCCACACATACAAGGCTGCACCTGGACAGAAAACATCCAACACAGTAACATTGTTTTTGGTTTCTTTCTGTGACTACAAAAAGAAGAAAACCTCACTAACGATGATAAAGATTGTCCAGACCTCTGGATCCATCCTTGCCCAAGCGTCATACTTGCTAACAACCCCTTTAGTTCTCCCTTCCCAACCCTGAGTAAGGTCTCTCCTGTCACCTCCATCGCCGAGACTACTCTGCAGCCTCACGAGCCATTTCTGCCAACTTTCTACTGGTCCACTCCATACCCGGCTCATACCTATTCTTGTTGGCCTGATTTCCCTGCCTATCATCCCCTGACCACTCAGTCAAGGACCCCTTGCAGAGGTTAGGATGAAGTCCTTCAAAGCATAATGTGGCTTTGAGGAAGGACTGGCTTAGAGAACTCTACTTTACACACAAGGCAAGTCGGGACACAGGCAAGCCTGGACAAGGGGGCCCAGCTCAGTCTGTACACTTACCAGCAATGTCTAGAACAGGTTCCACCTGTGCCTGTCCCTGGGAACACCTAGGGATCCCCCATAGTCAGTTTATTTGCGCTAAGAAGCAAAGGCAGCCAAGGACTGTTGAGTGGGAAAGCTGGGGGCTGAGGATCCCAGTTGCACAGGCCACCAATGGAGACATTAGGAAGCCCCTGGGTCATAGAAGGAACACACAGAAGACAAAACTGGAGACCACAACACTGCTGCCTTAGGGTTTCTAATTCTAGCAGCTGTATACAACTTTAGAACAACAGAGTGAGTCCAGGATTCAGGACCCAGATCTGACCAGAGATCCTCTTGAGGCCTTCTGGTTTTTTTTTTTTTTTTTATCTCAGCCTACTTACATGAGTGTGCAGAGAAAGTCCCTACCTACCTCCTAGCTGTATAAAGAAAAGCCTGGTTGATGATGTTCTCTGTCTGAGCTTCGTGATGCTATTTTAAACGTGGGTGGCAGGGGTTGTGGGGGATGAGGAAGAGTAGGAAGGATCAGGAGGTAGGCAGATAGGGAAGAAGACTAAGTTGCATGGAGGTATGAAGCAAACACAGGCATACAAATGAAAAATCCCTCTTCCTAGCATTCCATTGAAGTATTCTTGTCCCATCTTAGCAAGGAATAAGGAAAGTTGACACAGATTCCTAGTTGATAATGCTATGGTCCAAAGCCCTACCCTCCTCAGGGCTCACAACACGACAGCAACAAGCGTATGCTCACAAATACCAGGTTGCCCACCAGGAGGGTTCCTAAAGTCTGGAGGGAGTAGGTTTGTAGCGCATGCACTAGGAGGAGGGTGCCTGGGGCGACAGACAGTTCTCGCGGTCTTTCATGAACAAGTCAGCTGGAGCCAGGAGCCAACAGTCACAGGGCTGACTGTGAACAGGCACGCCAGGCTTTGACGAAGGTTCGCTAGTAGCGTGGCCCAGAGGCAAGAAGAGATGCAGGACGTGAATTTACTCCTGCTTGCCCTTGACCTCATCCACACCCAGGAGTCTGCTGGACCCTAGGCTGAGGCTGGAAATAAAATAGGAAGAACCTTGGTCACTGTCCCCAGAGCCACAGAATAAAATGAGGCTGATGGCCAATGCCACGTGCACTGGCTTCATCTTGTGATGGCAACAGAAAATCTTGCCATTGATAACATGCATGGCTAAAATGAAGACAAAGCCCCGCTGGCTGGTCACGAAGTAGCGCAGCTTGAGTATCTGTCTGGACAATGACTCAGAACGTCCACGTGAAAGACCGGTGGGGAGGACCAGCGCTACGAACGGGAACTGGGTCGTGTAACGCTGCGCACGTCTTAAGTGCTTAATATACAAGCAGTGAGCATGAGATCACACATCATGTGACACTCGTGTCAAGCTGAGGCCATGGGGAAGCAAAGAGCGTGATCACAAACGCCACGTTCTTGAAAAGTTCAAGATGGCGACCGTGTACATCTTATGAGATGGCATGAACACAAGGCTGACAACCAAGCCCGGGTGGCCAGCCTGACAGCAGGAGGCAGGAGGGAGATCTCCGCAGCATCACTTGGGCTGCTTCACCCTAGGCTCAGCCGTCTCCGCGGGCTGCTTTGTTGGACCAGGCCTTTCTTCCTTTCCTTTCTCTCCACGGGCTTCTTCGCTGATCAGGTAGTACTGTAGAGGATTGGGCCACAGGTCCTCGTTGATTATCTCAACAATCTTGTCGGACTCAATGGAGCCGTGATTTGAAAACCACCCAAAGAAGCTACCATTATTTTCTGGGTTTTCATTGCTTAAGGACTGTAGATCATGACCTGGGAGCCACTGGATTGGAGCCGAGCGAGACACCACTTGACCAGAGGGACCACACCCATATTCCTTGACGAGAACCTTATTTTGGAAATAGGGGTTTCGGCCAAAATAGAACTTGATTTTGTAGCCCAGTCTAGCAAGGCCAAGCTCTTCCACCTCCAGTCGGTTCAAGTAGCTCAATACCTCCTTATCTTTGGTATTCAGGAAAGATGACAGCTGGGGGTGATTCTGAAAAGCTTGCCCCCAGAAGCCGGGAATGCTCTGGATAAGGAGGTTCCGGCGCTCTAAATGGTGAAGTCGCAACTGGCCAAACTTGCGAGAGAGCCTGAGATAGGCCCTGTCGGCCTGTGCATTCATGGTCTCCAGCTTTAGCTGGACCGTCTCCAGGGTATCCATGCTGCCTACTGTCACGGAGGACCCTGACCCAGCATGCTTCTCTGCCACCTTCCTCTCCTCCCCCACAGGGACAGCGACGCATGGCCCCGCGGAGCCCATCTTTGGTTTCCCACTGACTGTGGCCTGAGGTCCCCTCCCCGCGGCCTTCCTCCCGGGGACTCGCCGATTTCCAAGGCGGGAGCCGTGCCGCAGCCTCGCCAAGGCCCCCACGGTTCCCACGAATTCGGTGTCAGAGGTCAGGCGCTCGGCGATGGATGCGGCCCTCTCCAGGTCAGGGTCAGGGGCCGCCAGCCCGCGCTCGTCCGCAGCCCGTGCCCGCAGCGCCAGGCCGCAGTCCAGCGGGAGGCGGCGGGCCGCGTCGTCCCCAAGCTCGGCTGCTCCCGAGCCTCCCTGGGCAGCTCCGGCCTGCACCTGCTCGGCCGCGTCGTCCTCCTCCTCGAGCTGAGGGTCTTCTGGCGACTTCGCATCACGCCAGGAGTCGTCCTCGGCGGCGCGGACCCGGGGTCTGGCTCGGCCTTTGCCCCGGCCTTTGGCGCGGGAAGACCTTCGACCCCTACTACGGCCGCTCATGATGCCAGCGGACAGGGCTTCAGAGCTGGATCAGCCCGGGGTCGCTACCCAGCGGCCTCTCCATGGCAACCGTGACGTCATCACGGCAGGGCCCGCTGTTCCCAGTGATTGGCTCCGCTGCGGCGGCTGCGCACTAGCCCACCCATCACACGCCGCACCCCCTTGATGTCATTTTGCTGTTGAAAGTTAGTTTCCACCTGCCGCTGACCTTGGTTGTGGTGCTGATTCATCTCCTAGCGTTGATCGCAAGCGTTGTCCCCAGGGGCTCATAAGACACAGACATTGCCCCTTCAATGGCGTCTTGAAGACAGCCACCACCAGTCAGCGTCGTCAATTTTTCTACTCTTCCTCTTCAGTGATCTCGTGTGACATCTCTCATAATTATATGTTCATCGACATTTCTGTCTCATCGCGTAATTATTCTACTGTGAGATTTGCCCCAGCAACTTAACTCTAAAGTGTAGGCAGATGCCATAATGCTGGCCTAGAATGATTTAGAAAGAACAAAAAGTCACAGCAGCTAATATTGTATAATCATACACACAAGGCTCTTTACTGAATATTTTTCTGCATTATCTCTGTTCATGAAAGAGGTATTGTTATTTTTCCCAGTTTCTTGGTAAAACTGCGGCTGAGAGGCTGGCTTTGCAATTCAGTGGTAAGACACTCGCTTAGCAAATGTGGGAAGTCCTGGGTTCAGTCCTTAGTGAGGAGGTGGAAGAGGAGGAGGAAGAGGAGGTGGGGAGGGGAAGGGTACTAAGGAACATTCCGGAGATTACACAGGTAAAGAAAGGCAGCCATGGCCTATCTGGCTACATATGTTATGCTAAGTCTATTGGCCCTTTGCAAATGACTGTCCTGCCTCCTAAGGAAGCTGTTAACAGACCCTAGACTCTTCTGCCTGGGTGCAGGTTCTCTAGCTGCCTCAACCTGCACAGAGTTGCGCTGTGAATCTCAGTCCAGAGCCAGATGTAACGGTCCTGAGACTAAGATGCTGTCGCTGGAACAGGACACAAATAGAATGAAAATATCACTCTGGGGGTATAGAAGGGTTTCCAGGTGAGATTCTGAGTCAGAGCATCTATAGGAGCAGGGAGGAGGCCCTTAGAAACTGAAGCAGTTGGACAACCTGACTAGAATTCCCAGAGGAGTCCGAGATCCTGTGGCCAGTACAGGACCACGAGGAGTGAGGGAATCCATGGCCAGTATGAATGTGTGAACAAATCTTCTGAGTGCATCTTCCAGGTTCAGGCACAACAAAGCCATTGCAGCAGGGGCAGAGAAGCGACTCCATCAGCCCATAGGGCCGCGACCCCTCTCTGCTCCTTTCAGTCAGTGTCTTTGTAGGGCCAGCAGTTAGGCAGCATCCGGAAGCTTGCTCAAGGTGCACACAGACCTCCCAGATCAGAAACTGAATGTTAACAAGCTCTCAGGTGGCTTTTATGTCCATTAAAGTGTAGATGATGTGGTGGGGGACATTGCTCTGAAACAGGCCCTAGCTTGAAACAACCCAATTCAGGTAGGTCCTAACTTTCTCAAAGGGCAGGCAGTTGCCTGGAAGGCTCCAGCCCCAACACAGTCTTGCCTCTAATCATCTGTCCAATCACTCCCGTCTCTGGGCTCAGAACCTCTGTGCTGGCCCTTCCTGCTACTTTAAATGCTCCATACCCCCCCCATGTGCGCTGGGCCCCTTTTCACTTAAATTTCTCACTCTCGTTGCCATCATATTTGTCCTCCTATTTCTGTTTGTTTTCTTTTCCATAGCAGCTATCCACGTTCTATACACTGTAGATTGGGTATATATAATCTTTAAAGTATATACATTTATTTATTTTGAGTGTGTGTTAGTTTAAGTGTAACACAATGCAGGTGTGGAAGTCGGAGGATAATCTAGGGAAGTAGGTTCTTTACTTCCACATCACTGAGTCTGGGCCTTCCTTATTGTTTTTGCTGCTCTGTGTACCCTATGTCCACAGAGGCCAGAGCCTCTGGGCATCTCTCCTGTGTCCACCTCCCATCTCACCATAAGCGTTCAAAGTCACAGATGCAGTGCAAGCCACTGTACCTCACGTTTGATGCTGTTGCTGCTGTTTGTGTTTATGTGAGTTCCAGGGATTGAACTCAGGTAGTCAGGCTTGCATAGTTACGCCTGTTCAGAGCCCCCTCGTTTACTGTTTGTCTGCTCTCCAGAATGTCACCTCCGTGGACAAAAGGGTCTTTGTTTGGTTCACTGTATCTTCAGTTTCTGCACACAAATAGCATTTAATCATTATAGATTGGAAGAATCGAAAAAAGCAGAGTTTTTGGAAGAGTTTATAAATGGTGTCTTAAATTCAAAATACTCCCTTTTCTTCACAGAAGCAAAGCTATTGGAAAAAGCTATGTCCCAAGTCAGCCTGCAGGACCTTGTTAAACTCAGCATTCAGCCAGAAATCTGTCGTTGGTTATGGACAACGTGTAAGTGGAAAATCTGGAGTGACAGATGAAAAACGTAAAATGAGACAATTGCTATTTAACTAACAGGGATTAATTAGTCCAGAGGTCACCTTAAATCCTTGTTGAAGGCCTCTCTGAGCACTGCTTTCCCATCTTCTCCTAGTCAGCTCAGGCTCCAGTAAGCAGTCCTGACCTGGGTCTCATGGAGCATTGGCTCACTGTACTATTTGTTCAGCAGTTAGACACACACTCTCTTTCCCAGTTCTATCACAGAATTACTTCTTAAACTGGATAATCATGGTCTGGAACTCTGTAAATCTCAGATAGATTAAAAAAAAAAAGTGAGCTGAAGTGGCCTTTATCCCTCTACAAATCGGGGCACTTCTCTGAGCACTCACAGCTTACGGCGTCTCTGTTGTCAAAAGTCTTAATCCAGCTTCAGTACCCACATCGTATAACTCACCAGAGGCTAAACCACTGCAGGATTAACAGCAGCCAGGCCACTGCAAACACAGTTTATGTGCGATCTGCCTTGAGCCACGTCTCAGCCTGTCAAGTAGATAGGCATCAGGTAAGTCGAGACTAACATCCTTCACAGAAATACTCTTAACGATCCAGATCACCCAGCTCCTGTAGCTTTAGCATTTAGGAGGCTGGTCTGTGGTGATGAACTGGTTTTCTTCCTGGGTATTAATATCACAATTGTATATGACAGAAGCTTAACTGCATAAAGGGGACTGTGTGTTGTTTTACTTTTGTCCCTCAGAGCAACTAGCATGGAGCCTTGCACACACAAGTAATTATGATGAAAGCTCCCATTTACTTGTACTTCATACGATGCCACATCTTAACTCATTTAATCCCCATAGCCACCCTAAGGGGCAGAAGCAATTATTGCTCTCATTTGAAGATGAGGTTACTGCTACACAAAATGGTCCAGTAGCTTCCCTAATGTTACACAGCCAGCAAGTGGTTTTCACAAAGGCATTTCAACCCCAGCGTCATGCTCTTCCCTAGTGGCCCATGATGTCAAATTACAGCTTGAAAGACTAATCACTCTAGCACCCTAATTGCCTTTTTTCCTCTCTAGTATTTTCAAAATTATATCTATGCATACATACATATTTATTATGCATTTGTTAACATTCACACAATATATACAGCAAGTAGCATTTATCAAATGGTGTGTTAGCATGCTTGACATTGCAGTACTCAACGTGAATCAATTTGGTTTCAACAGCCAATGGTGGGAATACAGCCCTTCAGCTTCTACTCTATTTGTCCCAAGCATTCTGTGACTATTATTAGATAAATATAAGTTTATCTTGCACTCAAGGGATCTAAGGATGCTGTAACTTCTTCCTAAAATGCAAAGGCTTAGTCCATAATAATGTGAGCGTGCAATTCTTTTTGTTGTGGCATTTTATTCTTGGAAAACTTAAAAATAAGTCAAGATGTTATAGTTAGGGTTTGCTTTTGTTTGAAAGTCTGGTTCCTTCTGTTTCTTTTAAGGTCAGTTTTTCTCAGATCATAGAAATTAATGAACTTGGAAAAGGACATCCCAGCCACCCAGTCTATTCTTCAGCCCAGGGAACATTTCCCACAGTATCTCTAGCAGGGTCTCAGGATCCCAGACTTGACATTTTTAGCGATGGAACTTTCCTCTTCTTCCCCAAGGAGATGCTTCAAGCCCCATTAGATGTCAGGGAGTACTGCATGCTGTGAGGAATTTTGCCAACCAACCCCCACCTTCAGCTTTGGGAAGGGCATGGAAAAGAAAGCAGTATCAAGGGAATGTTTTCAAAGCCAAGGAAAGAGGGAGAGAGAAACTTAACCTCTTATGGTAAATGTCCAGACTGTCTGAACTTAACCCTGAAAAATGTGCTTAGCTTCTTCAGAGCCCCCAAAGCTACAATCCCAGAGTAGACCACCTAAGTCTTCTCTGTTCATTCATACAAGCAGCCATAGAATATTTTAAAGTATTTCCACATGTGTTTTTCCTTCTTGGCATTCCTTTTTATTCTGAAATACCAAAACTACTTTAAAAATATCTTTAAGCTAAAAAAGGAAACTACATAAGAACACAGAAAAAGATTTTTATATTAAATTTTTCACTTTGAATTCCAAAATGTATCCAGAGAAGGAAAGGCAAAATAGTGTTGAAATATATAAATGCACACAGGCATACATACACATATATATACACACAAATATATGTATATTTATTTATATCTATATATACATATTATTATGTATATTGCATAATTATATTTTCCCATGCTATTATGCCAGAAATTATATATGTGTGTGTATGTGTGTGTGCGTGTGTGTGTTTCTATGTGTGTGGAGGGGTTACTGGCTAGTTATGTGTCAACTTGACACAAGCTAAAGTCCTTTGAAAGGAGGGATTCTCGGCTGAGAAAAATGCTTCCATAAGTTCAGCTGCAGGGCATTTTCTTAATTAGTGATCAATATAGGAAGAGACAAGACCAGTGTGGGTCATGCCAACCCTGAGCTGGTGGCGCTGAGTTTTATAGGAGAGCAAGCTGACTCTTGAGGCGCTTTTCCTCCTACTGGGTCGCCTCGTCCAGCCGTGACATGGGAGTTTGT